TTAACTTTAGTTTCTTGCTGAAAGTGAGTTGATTGTGTATGGCTTCTGTCGAGAAAGTAGACATCTGATCTGAAGTTTCAGACCCATCTTTCTTGTAAGAGACTGTGAGCAGATCTGTGGTATCACATTCATCAATGCGGGTTGTCTGTGTACCCACTTCCGTGCTTGATAGCGGATCTTTCAAATGTGTATTCTCATTTAATGCACATAAATCAACAATTTTATTAAAGAAAATAGTGGCAGCGCTGATGAACATTTCTGAGGAACTGTCAGCATCTTCTGAGGTGATACTGTTCTCCAAATGCGAGGTGTTTAAATGTTCCATTGGGGATGGATCAGCAGGCTTTGACATATCGTTAACGCTCTTATTAAATATCTGTAGGTCTTTCGGTTTTCGTGCATTCACATTTACCTCGTTTCGACGCATGTCCTTGCAATCCTCCAGCACTGAATGCCCTAACGTCTCAGGATCTCTTTCAGAGTTTATGTATTCCAAAAGCTTCCATTTCCCTTTTATCTCCTGAGGAGCATTGATGAAGCTTTTGAAACGTTCCTCTCTTAACGCTTGCTTCTCTTGGATAGTGAGTTGATTGTTGCCCCCAGGTATGGCGTTTGATGAGGTAGCCATCCTTTCTAAAGTTTCATACATATTTTTCGTGCTGGCGACTGAGTTCAGATGTGATGTATCAACTTCGCCACGCTTCTCTGCTGGTACTTTGTTTTGCATGAAATCATCTCCGTCAAGAGAGTTGGTACTTGTACTGCGGCTTTCATTTGCTTCAGGATTTCCCAAATTTGTTAGTTTTTCGATTGAATATGGATCATGTACGTCATTCAAGACATCACTGACACTGCTGTTGAGTGAACTTGCAGACGCTATAGCTGCTGGACAATGAGGTGAATGCGTTTCACTCAGAACAATGCCCGATGGGTTAATAAGTATAATTAAGCATTCAGTGTTTGATGGTGACAACTGCGAATTAGTTTCTTTCTGTTCCATAGCTGTGTATTCTACAGAGCTGGTCGTAACGCTGTCTGTGGGACCTGGAGTCGGTGTTGTGGTGATATCTCTGGCATGAAGTTCATCTTTCTCCTTCACCGACTGAACACACTCAATTTGCTCTGTGCTCTCGTCGCAGCTACTGCAAGCGCTGTCAGTATCTTCCTCTTGGGCGACGTGCCTGCAATCAAACGCGATACAAAGAATTTACTACATTATTCGATCTTTCATCTGGCAGAATCCTGATTTTCATGGAAGAATCTGAGGATTTTAATAACCAATCCGATTTTTTCACCTTAGAACTTAGCTTATGAGATCATTCTGCTGAAGACAGTAGATCACTGTCTCTATGTATTCCCAATCGCTGCTGAGTGCATGGGAGAAAATCACCTGCAAAAGTCGATAGGGAGTGACCGGCAGGAGAAGACTTTTTGTGAGATTGAAGAATTATGTTTCTGTTCATTGCAACAGTCGACTCGACTGTTTAGATACCTTGGAAATCAGCCATACTACAGAAATGGTTATCAACCGGTGTGCCGCGTCACACTACTTTCCCGCGAGCTATTTTCAACTGCGCGAGGCTATGGTTATATGAAATTAAATATGCGAATTAACAATCTTATAATTGTATCATTATCCGTAATTGAATATCATTTTTAAAAAAGTTAAAGAACACCAATAAACGTATATTTGAATATCGAAACAGAAATTAGTGACGATGGCAGCAACAGTTACAGTTGTGTTATTGTTATAACAATGGGTATGAAGATACCTCATCTCACTCCTTGCCCCAAATGAGTTCGTAAGGACTCAGTTTGTTGACAGAGCCTGCCTTAAACAATAAATATCTACGTTTATGTACGAAAGGTTCTGTGTCATTCAGTTATTATTCAATTTGTATTGAATGTAGTGCCCTTTACTAGAAATATTTTCTGTTGGAAAAAATCATTATAAGTAATTTTCCTAAAAATGGACAGATTTATTAAAATAAAAGGCGACAATTAAAAATTAATTGGAGGTACGTGTTCTCTTATTTTTGTTTTAGTTCTCTGCTTTAATCTTATTGTGATTCAAAAATGAAATAAAAAGTCTGCCGAAAGCACCAAGAGGTTGAGAACCAGTGAACTACGTCTTATTAAAATATGCTAAAGAAGTCATTAGTTTTCATTATTATTGTATGTCCTTCTTATATTTGTGCTGATAAACAGATAAAATTTATAGTTGTTGAAAATTTTCAGTGAGTTTTGATTCGCATGTCATAAGGACGTTACTAGATCAGAGGTTCCCAAACTTTTATACCTTGCGCCCCCCTTAAAACATTTCATAAATTTCACGCCCCCCCTTCTAAAACAAGTGCAAGCAAACAGATTTGACATAAAATTAACCTATGAGTATACAGCACTATACAGCCTTAACTAAACAAAGGATGTTAAAAATGTGTATCCATATTTCGTTAAAAAAAGTTTTTCATACAAACAACACCCTCTCCCTGGGGGGCGCGCCCCACACTTTGAGAACCTCTGTACTAGATGAAGCAGGTTGTGGTGTTCTTCAATGTGCTGACCACAGTACGCATGCGTCCATATTTGCAAGATATAGGAGTAGATGACCATGGAAGTTGCGAAATAATCACACAATTTTAAAGGCCGAGATAAATTTGTACGCGAAATTGACCTAAGCAGTTGATGCACCTCAAGCTTTTAAATAAAGATTTTGGTACAAGAAAGTGGGATGTATTTTATCGCAGTTCATATACCTGTTAACGTCATCTACGATGCCTGCAGGCTGATTAGGGTGGTCCTGTAGAACAGAAGATATGAACAAATGAAAGCAGATAAAAATAATTTGGTATAGAACTACCTATGATCACCAGACTGACGTAAAAAAGCAACTTATTTTTGGCATTGTATGACTCACGAATTATCTGTAACATCAGAAAAGTTAGCAATAATCATTCTGAAACGTTTGTTTACTTCATAAATCATCGCAGAGTAGGAAGGAAATATTACAACACCGCTTCACACTGATTTGTTACGTGTCACAGTCCAAAATACGCAAGCCAAGTTGGATTTATCGAAGAATTATACACAACTTGCTTTTTCTACACTCGCTAGAAAATATAGTCCTAAACCAGTACGCCAAATGCCTATTAATTAACTTTGTGGATCATGTCCGTTCTTGATAAGCTAATAGTCTTTCAGTTGGTTAAAAATTCCCTCTCCTTTTCTGGAATTAAGAAGTTCATTGCAGTTTTCACAAGAGACATTTTTATATCGCAGATGGGAAGTCATGATTTTGAACTTAATGATACGAAGTATTCTTCCAATTAATCTACTTTTTTTTGCTTGTTAATATAATTTATATGTTACTGTGTTTTATTTTTATGCGGAATTGCAGGAAAACAAATAATGGGCAGGTTAATACTGTTGTTATGGTGATTGGATGTTGATTGTGGAGGGATACGTATAGCTCCTAACAATGGACACTCTTAACTAACTAACTAGATGGCTTACCGAACCCGAAGGCTCTTCACCGAATTAACCAAAGCCCTCCACCGGACCCTGTCCTGGGCTAACAAAATCCGCTCTTAACGCTATGAATATGGGTGGACCTCTTAAGGAATTTAATGAGGAATGAAATCTGAAAGCGTCATCATTAACAACTGAGTCTTTAACAAATTGCTGTGTCCTTGTATGGCTGATGTAATTAAAAGACAAGATTTTGATTAAAATCGTACATTTAAAAGTATTTATTTATTCATATTCAGTTGGCTTCTGTTGCGTTTTTTAAGTTTATCTTTTGTGAAGGAATATAAAGGTATTGAGAAACTTTCGTTTTAAAGTCATTGTGGTATATCTTTTAAATATTGTAATGAAGTGATACTACAATTTGAAGTTAAATTAGAAAAGTATGATGTCAGAGTAATGAATACTGCGTATCTTCCGGCTACATCCACTGTTGAATCTAAGGAAATGAAATGGATGGACCCCTCCCGTACAACAGGGATGCAAGAACTTAAGAGTTTGTTTTATCCTGAACTGTGAGCTTTCTCAGCTTCTATAAGGCATAAATTTCCACGTGTTCATATTTCGTGTCCAAATATTTTCTGTGTTTCAGCACTGACATTTGAAATGAATTCGTGTTAAAGTAATGACAGCTGGTGCGCGCTACAGATGTGAAATTCAGTTGTGTAATTCTTAATCGGTCTGGAAAAAGTGATTCTAAAAATCAGCAATTCTAATACTGTAGGAATACAACATATCGGGTCCTCGTAAAAGCCGAAGTGCTGTGAGGTTAGCTATTTTTCATCACTTTTTAACATCATATTTGTTATTATCGTGTGACGTTACAAATACCACGTGATCTGTTAGATATGCCTTTCCCAGGCGGAAACGTTAGTAAAAGATGTTACAAATTTAATTATATCCAGACCGTACTTACCGGTTGGTTGCTGGGTGTGTGTCGCCCACTGTTGTTAATGGGTTCCATCCAAATTAACTCCTCGTCATCAATGAAGTTAAGCAAGAAATTCCTAAGTTTTTCACACGCGTCCGACATGGTTGAATTGCGGTCTGTGTGTGTGTGATAACCGTAGATACGTAACAATGGTTACCTGTTTATATTGTTGAGACAACTTAAATAAACATCATCTCCATGGTTTAGACTGTTCCGTCTCCAAGGAATTTTCTGTTCGTGTAAATAGCATACAGTACTCTGTTGTTTACATTTTTGTCGTGGAAACGTTACGTCACGCAACAATACAAATTATAAACAAGAGTATTTCAGTGATGATGATGTTTCGGCTATAGATATTTTATCTGAATCAGATTGAAATTGTAAAAAATACATTCTTGACGGCTGTGTACCTCGGGCCTGTGGGACCTCGCCTGAAATGTATACTTGTATTGATAGTCCGTTTTCTTTTTTATATTGTTTGCTATAGTTTGCCTTAAACATGTATTTTTATGAAACTGACAACAATTGGGAAGGAATTAAGAAAGTTTTACGTGAAAGGCTTTGGTGAATAGATCCTTTTAAATACTCTCTATAAAATTCCACTGTTGACGGTAGATTTATTGTGTACTGTTTGGTCACATTATATATATATATATTGGTAATTGGCAATTGCCTGCGTTAGGATTTATAACTGAATCCAGAGAATCTGTTGTAGAGAGAAGTTTTACAAATCGTTAAAATTATAATAACTGAACTCAAGTAAAATTCTTGAACCTACTTTCTTCTTAAGGAGCCTCTATAATTAATTTTGCCCAGGGCCTCATGATAGTTACATCACCACTGTTTAGAGCTGTGAATTTTCTGCTCTATGTGTTATTAGGTGATTTATCATGCGATTAATGGACTGTTTACTTTTTGAAAAGCAAGAAAATATATTCATGCTCTGGAAATTATCTAAATAAGGATAAATTGATTTCTTTAAAATATTTTTGTCACAGGTTATTCCTGGATCATCAGAGGTGCGTAAACTGTTATATATAGGGATAATATTAAAGTTAGTATTAAAAAATATAGCTAAATGATGTGGGCTATATTGAACTGCCTGATGACAGAACACAATGTCTGCATTTGTGGATACGACAATGGACCTTCTGCTTCCAAGGAAGGCGGAGATATTGACTACTATAAGCAGATTCTGTTTCGACTAGTTCTCATTTATGGCATAGTCATTAATGTTTACGTTATTTTCTTATTTGCATTTCTCTTTCATTTCATCGTCAGGTCTGATTTTACCTGAAGCATTAATTCTTTTTTGAAGTCGATGTTACATAACAGTCAGTTAAGAAAGGGCGTTATTATTTTCTCACTGATGGCTCTGTTTAAAGGAGAGGACCCATTTACTTGATGATAAGTCTATCTTCCACACATCTGTACGTTCCGTGTAACACGTGGATTTTTAATGTAATAATTAACATGTTTCCTCAGAGATTACTTAAATATTTTCCTAATAGAGGACATTTCTTTAATTCGCTTGTGTAACTGCACCTACTATGCATTTTCTAGCTTCTTTCTTACAACAATGTAGAATGGTAGTGAAAACGTTTCAGCATGAATAATTAATAATTAGAATTTTTATTTTTATTTGGTGTTCTGTCTGACGACAGGTCCATATGAACAGGATCCTTCGATCCTTTTCTCGGACTGGGACCTGTTCATATACGTTCTTGGCAGATGATCCAGAAGTGGTTTGCCATTGCCTTCTTCTGTGTGTGAATGGAGTAATTGTTGGGATGCCACGGAGAAACCGGGGAAGCCCCCGGAGGAAAACTCTGTGTTGCCTAGACCACGGCCTTGCCCAACACAAGTTATAAATTCGAACCCGAGACCCCAGGATTACAAGGCCAGCGTTCTAACCGCTAGACCACCGTGGCGGTAATAATTAGAATAATGATTGTTATTTTTTTTTGTAATAAGTTGTCATTGCGATTAATAGCAGCACAGTATGAGTAAGTGAATTTGTAGAAGCCACTACACATTTATCCTGAAGATGGCAAATTCAGTGTTTTTCGAAACGTGGGATAACTATCAAAATTCGATACGAACTAACCCCGGAAGCTGAAGTTATTCACTGAACTTCAGCTGCGAAAACCTAAGGACAAGAATTCCATTGAAAAAAATCAACATTTTTTTTCGTACTTTGCGTGATATGTTTGGAGTGAACGCGTTTACGTCACAGTCTTACAGCTCTGGCTGTTCTGAACGTGACAGATGTCACTCATTGCCTGTCTTGTTTGATTCCAGCATTACATCTGTGAACTAACAGTGAAAGTTCAGTGTGTATACATACGGCCATGACAGTTACCGAACAAAAGGGTTACTTCAGACGATGTACACATGCTGCTTATTCATGTCCGCTCATTAATTTTAGGCGAGCCTTTATAATACCACTTTGATTCTGCCATTGAACTGTCACTGATATAATACTTTTAATATTTTACGTCATATAAATTTCACAGGAAAATAGTTTAGCTTAACATTCTTATGCATTGTAAATGCAGTAATTTATCACTCGAGTTCGCAAGAACTGAACGAGCCATTTCACTATAAAATTAAACTGCGATCACAAAACAACGCATCACTTAACAAATAGTCGCTATACTTTAATAATGGCCAGCTGTTGCATGTGATTCTTTTTCAAGTGACATCAATTTTAATAAAAAGTGACACGAATTGAATCTGGGATTTTTCAGATAAAAAAGAACGCTCTGTGTGACGTCTAATTAAAACTGGCTTCTCTGTTTCCATTGGGGCTGGGAGCGACTAAGATAATGGGACACAAAACAAATGGTAGCTTGACGTAAATAAGTCCAATGCTTATCATCACGTGGCGTTATAGCATTATGTAATGGAAATTATACGTAATGTCATATTCTTTTGTTATTAGAATCTGAAATTAAAGATAGTTAAGAATAACTTCGTGTTTGCTTCTTTCAGTACACTATTTGTAATTTATATTATTATTATTATTCAGTGTTCTGTCTTACGACAGGTCCATTGCTCTGCCCAAACAGAGAACACTATTTTGACTCCAGCTACTGAAAATTAGGGCTTATCATGATATATCACTCAGAACATTTTATCGGGCATCTTATATGTTCCCCGTTTTACGTCTTTTTAAATATACGCGGCGATTCGCAGGAAAGTAACCTCCGCTTGTAACGAGACGTTTGTATATCTTTGTGTGCACAAGTTTAAAACTTGGTGTTTCACGAAGGTGAATAATTGTGCATGGAATGATGAACGCTTTTACGGAGGAAGAAAATGAAACCATGGGTCGTGTTTTGTTACAGTTGGTATCGAAGTTTTAGAATTAAAGTCATGTTTTGTTACGAACCCTTACAAATTACCGCCATTTTGGTGGACTGCCACGGGTCAGTTCCCTGGACGTCTTTATACAAAACAAGTAGACGTCTATGTGCCACTTCAAACGCTTCACTTAATTGCTGTTTTGAATATGTTGAGATATTTACAGCTACAGCAGAAAAGACCAATTACAGACGAGAATTATTTGTAAGGTTGGGAAAGGATATATTGTAAGCTTTATTCATGCGGAGGACTTTTAAAACTATGAGTCGTCCCTGTGAAGGCAGCCATTGATTTGGCGGACATTTGGACAGTTTCGATTTCGGAGGTTAAGCTGTAACTTTCTCCATCATCCTTTACTTCCTATATTTTGAGTTTATGTACTCTCTCCTTAGAGGCTAGTTTATCATTTTAATCATACCCATGGACCTCTACGAGAAAATTAATGTATCATATATTTTATAAATTGTTCTAATATAACATCAGATTTATATAATAAATATTTTCTCACTTTTTTATTAATTTATGGACTGAATGTGAACAAGGATCAAAGGCAAATAATTGTAATTATTTGCCAAGTTCGAATCGCATTATCCTCAGGCAGTTAGACCGATCCCGAAAGTGTGAATCGTACGTTACACGTTCGGTAACTCCCATTAATACTCGTACCTCCGCTAATCCGTTGTTCATTGATGTAATGTGAGGATATTAACGCAGTCACAATAAATTTATATGCGCTGTGGAACAAGCGAATCCCCGCTGAGCGTTCAGTACGTGAGCTGGTCTGCGCATCGATACCCTGATCGACTTCGATATTGCATCATGTTTATATCATATTTGGGCCACTCAAATTTTTTATCCTTATGTCCAACTTAACCGATGTTTCTATATCGTATTTGCATATTCTTCTCTATTTATCCGGTAGTTATTTCGCCTCTGCGCCGACTGCAAAAACACGAGAAAGTGGCATGTTTTTCGCATGGTCGCTGCATTCTTTCATTCAATTTTTAACATAAATAAATTTAACAAAATTTGCACATGCCGACCAAGGTTTAAACATCTATCCCGAGACTCGGAATACTAAATCACGTATTTCGAGATTTTCCTCCATTCCCTGCAGACAAATGCTTTACCTTTAATTAGACCATTACCGCTTTGTTCCACATTCCTTCAATTATATTTTTCATTATGTATCTCAAGGATTGGCTAATGGGAGAGGTATGAAATGAATTAAGAAGAAATCAAAATAGACTAATTCCTTCCTGATCCTTTCCGGTTCTTCACGTTTCTCATGACTCTTCGTGCTAGATAACATCTTCGGCAGACATAACGCTGTGAAGGATGTTACGAATAAGTAAAAAGAATAATAGAATTTATGAAGCAGAAACTTAGATTAAAGATGCAGTCATCATCCTGGGTGTTTGTTCGTCGTGAAAGCTCCCCGTGGATGTCTCGTTCCTTGCATTGTTCACAAAGTCAGTGTCTTCGTTGCTCAGTTATAGTCAACGACCTAGTCGATGATGGAAGATTCAGGTTATGAATAGATGTTTTTAAAGTAATTTCATAACAAAATTCTATTTATTTCTGATACAAATAGGTCACATAGATACATAATATAGGAAATAAAAAGCATTGTTTCTTCCGTGTATTCACGGATGCGAGGACGAAGATGTCAGTCTTCGGGGAAGCTGCACTATGTAGTCTCAAAGAAGCATACGGGGGTTTCAGGTGTGCTCACTGCTTCCATCGTCAGGGCGATGAGTAATCTGCACGTGA